CACGAATAACTTATAGAAACGTGGTTTTTCTTGTTTGTCCGGCGGCTTGCACAGTCGAAGCCATTGGGACGGGTATCGCGTCGAATTCATTGTGCTCGATTCTTATGCGCGATGATTACTCCATTAGGCTGTCGCCGCGTTTCCTTCGGACAGATAAGAATTCGTCGTCGTCGGCTGTTTTCGATATTGTCTCGAAATACACGGTATGTCAAAAGACAAAGCTTCGGCTCTCTTCTCCGCGGGACAAAAGTTTACGATTAATTGCGAAGTACTGGAATGTGAGTAAAACGGACTGAACTTTTCGAGAAAAGATGAATTGAAAAGGTGGAAATAAAGGGAAAGGGAAGTGTACGTGTGCGTGCGCGCGCGCGCGCGCGCGCGTGTGTGTGTGTCGTGAAACGAAAGTTGGGTTACATAGCACGGCACGTGCATATCGGTGGCAATAAAACTCGTGTGCGACATGTTAGCGATGCCAGCACACAGCTGCTTGTTGTGGCTCTCTGAACGTTTCACGATGACCGCATATACACTAATTGCGAAGCGTAACCAGCCAAGTTACAGTATTCATGATACCTACGTATCTATTTATATATAACTAGCATCTACATTTCTTATCGCGGTTTGTCCTTTGGAACGTTTTAACGTCTTACGTGCGCCCGTTAATAAGTCGTTATTTACATAATTCGTTAAAAAAAAGAAACACGAAAAGAGCGGTTAACGATTGGACACAATAATCAGATCGCAAACGAGTTGTTTGAAAAATTATCTTGAAAATAAACGTTTCGCCTTGTTATCGCGTGTAACGCGAAGAAAATAGTTGAAACTACAACGTTATCAGAGTGGTATCGACTCGTATAATACCTCGTGTATTCAGGAAAGCCACAAAGATTCGTTGTTTCTTCTCATGCAAGCAGAAACGCCGGTTAATCAAGACCGGTGAAACAAGACCAGCGGTGTTGTTTCAACATCGATCTCTTGAACGAAAGTTTTGTAGTCGTTCAATCGAACTGATTTTTTTTTTTTTTTTTTCTTAATAAGAAGAATTCGCGGTTTAGTTTCGTCTTGTGTGAACGATCCACAAGAACGGTTCTTTTGTACCACGGTACCACGGTATCCCAAGAGATTAGATCAGGGATTATTTGTCGTGAGCATCGATTAGCTCGTATCACTTCTGCAAATATTAATTTTATGGATTTCAACTGTTGCAACGACGTTTCGTTATCGGATCGTTTGACGTGCGATCATACAAATATTACACGAAACGATTTTATATACTGGCGTAGAGACGGGAGGAAGTAATTGCTACGACGAAACGATCCAAGGACAGCGGCGAATAATGCTAGCGCTTTGTGTTATTGCTTCGAGTGTTATCATAAAATGAGATAATTTCTACAAAAACTTTCTCATCTTTCCGCGTTGATGTGAATTTCGCTTTGTTAAAAGAGAAACGACAGCAATATTTCCTCGTTTAACTTTTTCAGTCATGCGTGTCGGATTTGAGAGACAAAGAAGAGCTTGTCTTTGCTCTCGTAATATTTCAGACGACTATGATAAAAATGTCGGCGCCGCCAAAATGCTTTGTTATCACCGAGTGCTGGCACATTGCCAAAAAGACCGAAACGATTTATTTTTAATATGAGAACCGCGATACCAGAGATAATAAATCGAAATAACAATTTAGCTTGATCGTTGGTTGAATAACTCTGGTTTGACGTGCAAAGAAAATGGAATAGCAAAGAGGGAAGAAGGGAATGATGAAAGATTGGCGATCCTCCAAAGGATTATCGGTGTGATCGATGATATTAGCGAGTTTGGAAGCGAGTAAGTCGCCGGTAGAGCTTATAGCGATGCTTTACCTTGGTTGTTTCACCTATACTTGTCTCTCGGTGCATTTCGTATTACCTTGGCTCGCTTTAGTTCGTAGCAGAATTTGGTTTAATGTCGCATTATCGACCCTTTCTCCCGCGCACTTCTCCTCTTTTGTAATTGTTCACTTCCATTTGATGATTGGAAAATTTTAAAAAATTCGAAATTTCGTTCAAATGTAATTCACACGATGATGTTAATAACTTTTATTTATGTTTTTTATTCTTTCATTCATTATTCGCTTCTTTAGTTTTCATTTCCTTAAAGCTACTGCAAATATGTACTGCAACTGAACCTGACAATTGATAAAGATGATAATACTGTAATACAAAAATTGACGAATGTCAGAAATGGACGATTTTTAGTGTTACAAAAATTTTAGTGCGTATGGTGCATATAGAAAAATAGAAACATGCATCAAATGAGTGTTCATGTATCTAACGCTTCTAGGAAATTCCACCTTAGGACACAGAATTAAAAGTTGCATTGTTGTATAGTTGTAGAATATAAAGTCTTCCCTTAAAGTTTTCGCCATTCACAACATAGATCATAAAAAGCGATACAACTTTTAATTTAACGCTTTCCCTCATGTTATACACTTTTGCAAATATTCAAAATAATATAATAATATACATCTTATACACTTATATATATTTATTATAATATTATAATATACATCTTATACTTATATAAAAAATAATATACATCTTATACATATACTTATATAAAAAATAATGTAATAATATACATCTTATACACTTTTGCAAATATTCAAAATAATATAAGAAGTTAAAGTCCCTTCGAAGTGTCCCCCAGAACTTATTTTTCAATAAGAAAAAAATTATTCCCTTGTTGTCATTGGTGCAAACTGCATTTGTGCAAAATTTCCGTTTTGTTTCCTTTTAATTTTTTTAGTTGCCGAACACGTACGGAGTCACATTGATTACGAGTTATTTTTCGACGAATGTTATCGGCGATTGGTATTAATATTTATTGCCGATAAACATTATCCTCAATGCTTAACAACACGTATAGTCGATTTCACTCCACGCTTTCTGTTTTTTTCTTTTTTTTTTTTTGTAGTTTTCGAACATGTCCGAAACGTTTACAATATTCACATTAATCAGTGAATACTCGTTTTCCCAAAAATCCACGAGACTCGCGTTGGGGGTCATCGTTTCCCTTTCCTTCCATCAAATTATAAAGAGAAATATTCACCGTCTCGATGCATTTGTGTACGACACGATATGGAACACACGCTGCATCGTTCAAGAACGCGAAATTGCTGATTCTATGTTTCCTTTTTTTTTTTTCTCCCCTTCTTTCTGTTCTTATCTTTCCTCATTTTCTTCTGGGACACCTCGAGTGTATTTCACCGGTAAAATCTAATTCGTTTTACGCAACAGCTTCATTGTTTAATCAGGTGAATCTTCCTGCACGATAAAAATTTGATTAATGGAGGAGATGTAATTTCATGTATATTCATAGACGAGAGAAACACAAATCAGCGAGACCACTCGGTTGCCTTCGCAAGTGCGCGCAAACGAGGAAAACGGAGGTACACACGTTTAATATAAATCATACTTCTCGTCATTCTCGCGAATCGCATACATACTTGTATACTGGTTAATGTTTCTCGTGTCGCGGAACTGGTTTATTACGTAAGCGCATTGATCTCTCTCTTTCTCACTCTCAAAGTTCCCTTCTAACTGATTACAAGATGCCACTCGGGCATGTTTGTTCTCGTTCATCATGCCACTGGATGCTGGTGGTGCTATTGCTGTTGCTGTTACGGTCATCGACTCGCTCGCGTTACAGAAAAATCGTCGCCGCGCGGATCGCACGTGGACCGTCTCTCGTCTTCGTTATGCCGAAAGAAAGTTAGTTTTCCACATTGAGTGATTTTGAGGAAAGGAGACAAGCAAATCGTGTCTACGTCGCGAGGCTCACGTAGATCGAAACTTCTCGAAGATCCGAGAAATATAAAAAAAACGAAAGAAAAAGGAAAACGGAGACTCGAAGAGAAAAAAAAGCGTACGTAGTTTAGAAAGAAATACAAGAGAGATCGATCGACAGGCCGAGTGTGATTGATGGAAGAGATCTAATAACAGCAATAATTTGTGACAAGTTATTGGAATAGTGATATTATTGGATAGCCGCGGCGATACTAATGGTGATGGCAGCGGTGACGGAGGCGGCGGCGGTGGTGGTGGTGATGGCGGCAACGGCGATAGTAACAGCAGCAGTAGTGGTGGTGGAGGCGGCGACGTCGGCAATGGTTGTGTAGCGATGCATAGAGTCGTAGACTCGGGAAGGGGAAGCAGTCGATTCAGTGAGAGGCAGACGCTCAGAGCCGATGCAGCCGAAGGATATGTCAACGGCGATGATCGTTCGACCGACGTTGTCGCTGGCATTGTTCTGCTCGTCGAGGAATCGAAATAGACGAGTTAGGCGATTCCGAAGCGATTCGGAGCATGAAGAGGAGGCGGAGGAGGAAGGGATTCGGTGAAAAACAACTACGGCTGTCCCGATCTCATCGTCGAATAGTTTCCATCGAACGGCAGACAGAGAGACCGGGGGTTGTTGCGCTTTTATTTATCGTTTTCGCCAAATAGTGCAGTGATAAAATTAATGATCGCGACACTTTCAAAACGAGAGAATAGCTTTTTTTTGTAGCAGCGTTCAATTAGAAACCTGGCTGATTTAAGGAGCGCGACGATCGATTCCGTAGGTAACGAAACGATACAAGCAGTGAACAAGCAGTTTAATAGATCGCTGTGTACCGCCGTTGTAATCGATCGTTCCAATTTGCTGCATGTCGCATTTGATACCTGCATTTACCTGGTTGATATCGAGAATCGTTATCTCGTATTGCGTAGCGTTATCGCGGGAAATAACCAACGCGGATCATTGACCGATGACATCATTGCGACTGAGCGAATTTCGCGAATTGGTTTCTTTTTTCACCGATAATTGTGGACGACGAATTAGCCGAAAGAGAGAACTAGCATCGTGTATATGTATATATGCATGTATATATGTGTATGCGAAAGATGCGGCGCAAGTGATTTCATGATTCAACGAAACGATACAATTTCCGGTTCGTGAAATTGCACAGTTCTTTTTTTTTTCCATTTCGTTCGCTCGAGTATTGGCTTGGCTAGAATCGAAGGCTCGTTGAGATTCTAAGTGAACGAGCTTTGCATGCTTTTCACCAGCAAATGATACATCGGCCCTCTTACGCGCTCGCACAATGAAGATTTGTTCGGCGATTCATTCTGTCTGTTACAAGATCCCGAGCATCGTCATCGCATCGATGAAGAGTCGAATTGTTGCTTGTAATTCGATGGAAATGAAACAATTGGAGAACAAAGTCGAATGAATCGATCGAGAAATTACATTTGTCAACGCTAGGATATCATCGAGTAACAACGAGCGATTCGTGCTCGAATGTTACAAACATTCGACGCACGCATCGTGTGTTTCGTTTCCAACTTCTCTAGCTTTTGCCACAACTTCCCCCTAGCGATATTTCCCTACCTAAAATCGTGCACTCTCTGCGAAATATTAACGTTCGCACTTAAACCTAAACGGCTATGAGATACACAGAGGACACACGGATAAGTGATTCACCTGATTTTACGTCTCTCTTTAACCCATTGCGCTGGCAACTGGTTCGCGGACCTTAACGAGTGACCGAACCGTGTATTATTAAGAAGTAATAAAGCTCACCATTTGTTTTCGCCTGGGTTAACATTTAATTATACTTAAAACCGAGAGAATGTTGCAATTCGGAAAGAAGAAATTCTCGACGTGCGTCATCATTCCGCATTTCCCTACCTAAAATCGTGCACTCTCTGCGAAATATTAACGTTCGCACTTAAACCTAAACGGCTATGAGATACGCAGAGGACACGCGGATGAGTGATTCACCTGATTTTACGTCTCTCTTTAACCCATTGCGCTGGCAACTGGTTCGCGGACCTTAACGAGTGACCGAACCGTGTATTATTAAGAAGTAATAAAGCTCACCATTTGTTTTCGCCTGGGTTAACATTTAATTATACTTAAAACCGAGAGAATGTTGCAATTCGGGACAAAAGAAATTCTCGACGTGCGTCATCATTCCAGCGCAAGAGGTTAAATTGATAAAAACGCCGTTGATCGAACTTCAGCGCAAATCGATGACTACTATTCTTTCACCTCGACTCGTCGCTGCTGCTTCCCTAGATTTTTCTGCCTCGCGGTTACAACTGTGGCTTCTCGTATTGTTCGCGACCGCGTACAAAACGTCTAGCGAGTTTGACGCTTGAAAAAAAGAGAAAGTCGTGGGGAGAAGGTGGCTGCGAGTTTGCAAAATGCCTCGGTGATTCTCGCGCGGTTGATCGTCTCCAACATTGACCGAGAGGGGCGGAGGGAGAGACCGGGGATGGTGATTGGATCGGCGCCAAATGTCGTCGGTAAAATTAATCGTTCCCTGACACGAATTCCTCTCTAAGTGGGAATATCAATTTGCGGGCATGGAACGACGATCGGAAGTAGTAGCGCGCGCGCGACGTCGTTGACAACTGGTCGATGGGTGTACGGTGGAAATGACGACGAATAGAAAAGTTAGTTTTGCACGCCACCCACCCCATTTCTCCTCCTTTCCCTTCCTTCAGGATTTATTTTCTTCCTGTTGGTTATATACGTGCACGGGGAGAAGGAAAAACCGTACAGAGCCCCCCACCCTGGACTGATATGTATTATTTTTATTATTTGTACATGCACGAAAAGACATCTTTGTACCGCTTTGACACCGCTTGTTAGATACTAATTCGTCACGGTTTAACGAACGAGAGAGAATAACTGATGGCGTTATTGTTCCTCCTTTTGATGCTTTCGGGTCGTTCCATCGTTTCCAACGTAACATACGTTTTTTTTTCGTTTGCATATTCTTTTCGTGGAACTGTTCATACCGTGGAGTGAGAGAACAACTGTATGATATTGTCGATTGGCCGATTTTCGAAACGGTTCGTCGGGAAAGAGAGAGAGAGTAGTCGGCTGATAAATAGACGCGCAACAAGCAAGATAACCGCGAAAGAGACGGATCTATCAACGCACCGTGGCAGTATCACGCTTCAACGAATCGTATTTGTTTTTTTATTACAGATCGAAATTTTGGCAAACGATGGAAGTACGGTCACCGTTTTAGCGGCAAGTTGGAAAGAGAAATCACGTTCGGCGTTCGTTCTTCGTAAGAGGATCAAAGGAAGATTCGTCCGAAGGGCCGTCTAATCGAGCGGGATCGGTTATCGAGAAAAATACCACGCGGAAATATAAAGGAGAAGAGCGATCGTTCGATGCGACATGTGTGATAAAGGGACGTAAAAGCACCGATCGACGACGACGACGACAACGACGAGCAACGGGCAACAGCAGACGATACACCGAGGAAGAGAAGTGGCACCGGGCGATTACTATCGAAACCGCCGGTGTCTTTGAAACAACAGAAGACAAGAAGAAGAAAAATACGGAAGAAGAAAAAGAAGAGTAGGAGAATGGAGTAGGTGATGACGTGGAGAAGCCTGAGAGAAGAGAAAGAGAGAAAAAGGAAAAAAACATCCAAAGAAGCATAGAGAATTTGACTGAAAAGAAGATAGGCTCGCTTTCCATGACGAGATAGAAATTGGTAATTGGCAAGGCAGAAAGGGGTGGGAAGAAAGAGAGAAGCGTGGAAACAGCGGAGGGATCGGGTGGCGGATATATCGAAAGTATATCGGGAATATCGGTGTGGAGGGCAGCCGCGAGACGATAAGTGATGTGTTCGATGAACGTGGCGCGTCTCGCGGGTGGTGGTCGGGGTAAAACTGACGCGTGTTGCGCGTGGTGCCATTATTTGGAATCGGTGAGAACAGGCGGGCAGTTGGTGATCAGGCTGGCGGGCACCGGGGAAACGTTTCAAAGGGCATGGCGACCACGCCACTAGGCGGTCGCCTCCCTAACGTAAACCGCAAAGGACCATCTCCGTTCATCGGTGGTGGTGGTGGTGGCAACAACATAAATTACGGCATCGGTAACGGCAACAGTAACAGCAGCGGCAATCACGTTATCAAGAATAATCACCACGGTAGTAACAACAACGGTGGTGGGAACAACAACAACAACAACAACAACATCAGCAATAATAATAATAACAATAATTACAGCCGTAACAACAACAACAACAACAACAGCAGCAGCAGCAGCAGCAACAACAACGGCAACCACTTCAGTCATCGTAGCGCCAGCCACGATAACAGTGGGAACCACGTGGACAGCAGCCACGGGAAAAGCGGTTGTACGATCGAGTGTGGAACCAACAACAACGGCGGACACCACAACGGTGGCAACGGCGCTACTGGCATCGGCGGCGGCAAACACAACGGCGGACATATCGTCGGTGGTAACGCCGGTGGTGGAGGTGGAGGTGGAGGCGGAGGAGGAGGAGGAGGAGGGGGAGGGGGTGGAGGAGGAGGAGGCGGCGGAGGCGTTGGTGGCCACTCGTCGAGAAAGCAGGAACGCGGGCTAGCAAGAAAAGATCACCGACATCACCATCATCATCACCATCATCATCACCATCATCATCACCATCATCATCATCACCATCAAGGTCGAGAGAGATCGTCGTCGTCGTCGTCGTCGTCGTCGTCATCGGGACAACAGCGCGAGTCTAAAGCAAGCACGGTGGCTGCAAACACCGATGAGCTGGATCCGGCCGCGACGAATGCGACCAACAACTTCGAGTACGACGACAACGAATGGGACATCGGAATAGGAGATTTGATAATCGACCTTGATGCGGACATTGAGAAGACGAGGGACGAGAAATTGAGCTCAGGGACAGGCATGGCTTCTACGCCTGCCTCGGCAGCATCAGCATCGAATACCACGAATCACCATCATCATCATCATCATCACCAATTGCAAAGCACAGCGAACGGCTTAAGTTCGTCGAATTTGATCGTAGCCACGACAGCAAGCCCAAACGGTTGCGGCCAATCGTCAAACTCGTCGTCGTCGTCGTCGTCGTCTTCTTCTTCGACTTCTTCTGTTTCTTCTTCGTCGTCGTTATCCTCGTCATTATCGTCGTCGTCGTCGTCGTCGTCGTCGTCGTCGTCGTCGTCGTCGTCTTCGTCACCCTCGTGTTCGTCCTCGTCGACCGTGTCGTCGTCCACATTGTCATCCGTGAGCTCGGCCTGCGTGTTAAACTCAACTGGACGATCGAACAGTCCCGCGAACGGGAACGGAAGCATCGTGAATAACGTCGGTAGCAACGGTACTGGAAACGCGAACGGTTCCTCGGCGATCGTCGTGGGCACCGTTGGTGGTAAACAGAGTAACGCCGTGGTGGTAGGTAGTAGCGTTAACGTCGCGCACGGGAATCCTGGTAATCCGGGCAAAATGGCCGTTGAACATTCGGCCACCGTCGACAAAGGACTGAAAATGAAGATCAAACGTACGAAACCGGGCACGAAGAGCAGCGAGGCGAAACACGAGATCGTCAAATCGAACGAGATCAATGGAACGATGTCGTCGCAGGATAGTGGAAACGGTGGCGCCGGTTCCCTATCCTCGAGTGGTTCGTCGGTGTCGGATCGGTCGGGAAGCACGAGTTCCTCGTCGTCGATCGGCTCGGCTTCGGTTGTCGGTCAGAACGCTCAAAACTCGGACTGCACTGCGAGTGGAACCGGTGGAACTGGAACCGGGTCCAGCGTTGGTGGAGGTGTTGGTGTCGGTGTCGGTGTCGGTGTCGGTGGCAATAGTGGTGGTGGTAGTTGTAGCGGCGGTGGCGGTGCCGGGGGCGGCAGTGGTGCCGGTGTTGGTAACAGCAGTGCTGGCGGCTGTGGTGTCGGTGCCGGCGGAACTGGTAGCGTCACCGGGCCCGGATCCGGCGGCGGAAGTACAGGCAGTGGTAGTGGAGGTGTCGGCGGTGGCAGTGGTACTGGTGGTCAGTCGTCATCGTCCTCGTCGTCGTCGTCATCGTCTTCGTCGTCTAACAAATCAAAACCAAGTCATTCCGGTGGTTCAGCAAGTGGAACTGGTAGCACGTCTTCTTCGACAGCTGGCTCGAAGAGAGGATCGAGCGGACATCGTCGGGATAAGGCGCGAGACAAGCACGAGAAGCCACAGAGTAATCACTCGGTCAGCCAGCAAAGCAAGTCAGAGATGAATGGGACCGCGAGACTAGGAGGGGGCGGCGGCGGTGGTGGAGGTGGTGGATCCAGTGGAGGCAGCAGCGGTGGTGGTGGTAGCGGTGGTAGCGGTGGACAGGGTCAGACGTCGAACGGACCAGGGTCGGGTCCTGTGCCAGGACCAGGATTAGGCGCCAGTGTCGGGGTTGGAGCTGGAACCACCGGAGCTGGGGCGGTCGCGCAATCTCAGGGACCGCCGGCAGCCGCGACCGCCCCGCAGCAAAATCAGGGACCGCCGCCGAGCTCACGGACTGGATTTTCGGTGTCGCAGGGGCCTGGTCCACCGACCAGCTCCGTTGCAGCGCCATGTCCACCGCCGAGTCCAGCTAGCGCGACCGCTGCTGGCCCAGCTGCTAAACCAGAACAGACCAAACTCGCCTCGGTGCCCGGTAGCGGGCCTCCGATTACCACAACGCCCGACGATGCTATGGATAGCGCGGCCAGCCCTCCACCTCCGAAGAAAATGAAGACCTCCGCTTCCGAACCAAAGGTAACCCCCGTTCGCGACGAATTTATCGCGAGTTTGCAACGAGCGCGCAAGCGTACCCGCGAGCGCCTGCGCGCTCGTTCTTTGCCCGATTTTTTTCTCTCCTTTCCTCTCCTCCTCTCCTCTCCTTTCTTTCTCTGTCTCTTTCTCTTTCTCTTTCTTCTTTCTCTATTCTTCTGTCTTCTTTCTCTCTTCTATCGAGTCTGATTCCCGCGTCTCTTCACTTTGATTCCCGCCCTATCGGCCACCGAGTTGTGAAATATTCACAAACGTGTCATTCGAATATTTTCGAAGCAAGCATTAGGAGGTCAGATCGATGACGTCGCTCAAAGAGCGGACGCGAGAGATCACGAACGCGTAAGGAAGTAACGACGACCCGTGTCGCGATTTTGTGTCTCGGCTCGATGACCAGACACTGTTCGGTTGGGGAACGGAAACAGCTAGGGGGTACGCAAAGGGGGTGAAATCAATACTCTGCGGTCTCCACCCCCGAGAGTACGCAAACGAATATATATACACACATATATATATACATATATGTACATGTGTGTTTGTGTGTGTGTGTGCGTGTGTGAGTCAAAGAGAGAGAAAGATAGAGATCGAGTGACAACGAGAGATCATTCTCTCGTTCGAATTGGTTCTCTCATTTCAAATCGCACCAGGCATACACACACTTCCACACCGATTCAACAATCTCTTTCGTTTTGATAAAAAAATCTCGCGCTAGCTATAGGCTCGTAACGTTCATTTCCGATCGATTTCTGATCGGAAAAAGTTGCGTCTCCCTTTCGTTTAATACGTGTGATATGCCTGACCTGCAGACTCGAGCAGATCGGGAAAACATCGACTCGCGAGGAACGTGTCCTACGTTGCACGCGAAGCTCAGCGTAACCTGCTGACAGATGGCGCGAAAGCCCTACGCGTGAATCAATATTACAGTATGCATCGATGTTTCGGGATGTACGTATAACCATGTAGTCGAATGTTCGGTCAATGAACGTTTGGTTTCGCGGCTGCCCTAAACGAGAGGGAGGGGGGGAGAGAAAGAGAAAGAGAGAGAATCAGGTGAGAAAGTCAGAGCAAACGATTCGATGGAAAGTTCGTTTTCCCCTGCTCAATCGGAATTGTCGAAGCCAATTGCGCAAAATCAAGTCCTGGAGGGAACAATAAAGTCATATTATCTCGTTGAACGCAAACACAAATGTCGTTTTCCCGCCCGGAGCAAGCATCGTCTTGCGAGGGTAATAATAATCGTCGTAGCCAATGACATACAGGGTGAGTCTCGTAACGTGACGACATCAAACATAACTCGTAAAATATTTGTTGTACGAAAAAATGTTCAGATGAAAGTTGCATGGCTTCCAGGGAGACATATAGTATACTGTAATCAGTTTTATGTTTTGCTTTTTTATCAAGATACGAAGGTCACCTTCAATTTTTTAAATGGAATAGTTAATGTGAGATTACAATGTAAAGAAATATTTTTGCTAATATCTCAGTAACTGGTGTGTTTTAGACCCTTATTTGGTGTGATACTTTTTTATGTAGAATTCAACGCTCTATCCAAATTATTAACTTCTATTTTGCTTTTTTATCAAGGTATGAAGGTCACCTTCAATTTTTTAAACGAAACAGTTAATATTTCTTTCCAAATTCGGATAAAGCGTTGAATTGTACATAAAAAAGTATTACACCAAGTGGGGTCTAAAATACATAGTTACTGATGTTAGCAAAAATATTTCTCTACGTTGTATTAGAAATGACCTTTAATCTCAGTAACTATGTATTTTAGACCCCACTTGGTGTAATACTTTTTTATGTAGAATTCAACGCTTTATCGGGAAGAAACACATTAACTATTCCATTTAAAAAATTGAAGGTGACCTTTATACCTTGATAAAAAAGCAAAATAACATAAATAAAACATAAAGTTAATAATTCGGATAAAGCGTTGAATTCTACATGAAAAAGTATTACACCAAAAAATGCACAGTTGCTGAGATATTAGCAAAAATATTTCTTTACGCTGTAATCTCACGTTAATTATTCCATTTAAAAAATTGAAGGCGACCTTCGCATCTTGATAAAAAAGCAAAACGACATATAATAAAACATGATAACAGCATTATACGTCCGCCTGGAAGCCATGCAACGTTTATGTGAACATTTTTTCGTACAACAAATATTTTATGAGTTATCTGATGTCGTCACGTTACGAGACTCACGCTGTGTATACTTTTGCTGCAGTGACCCAAAATGCTTCCGAAGTGACAAATTCGAATCGGTAATTACGGTTTTCTAAGTACCACGGTATAGAACCATTTCATACGCCGTCTGTTCTTTTCCATCGCGTCGATGCTATCGATACTAATCTCCGTAAAGTGAGGTAATGAGTTAATCTTTGTCCAAGTCGATTAACAATTCGAGCTGACAAGTACACGTGATACACGCCTTCGTGTGTATCGTCTGATACACAAGTACAACAGGGAAAGAAAAAACTGTATGCATTAATTCAGACAGGATGGATGATTAACGACTAAAACAGATGGTCGATCCAGTACACGTAAAGCGAACTGAGGAAATAGAGCTTCAGGTTGTTATTTAACCAACGATCGAAAAGTTCGATACCGGTTCTAAATGGGTTTCGGTAGTGTCTCTAGTTTTCCTTCTCTATGAAATATACCAACGTATGTCGAGGTGGATCGATGTAATCGAAAGGAAGCCGGACGAAAGTAGCTATCGATTGGTCGCGTAAGTCATCGTTATCGCGATGAAAATTATGCGGTGCGAAATACGTTTCGTGACAAAGTGACTCGAAGCGAGACACAGTTATCAAACGAGCGTGTGTGTGTATATATATATACATACGTGCATATGTATATATGTGGATACGTGCGATACTTACGTTTGAAGAACAATCACGTCTTATAGTTCAATACGGTAAAGCGAGTAATTTGTTCGCACTTTGACAAACTCGTCCTCTTCTTCCTTCCGCTCTCTTTTTTTTTCACTCTTCCTTCTCTTCTCGTTGAAAACGAGCTTGAAAAGAAATAGGAACGATAGAAACATGCCGAATTAGAAATTTCAATAGAATCAGACTCCACCTGTTCTGATATTTCTGCTTTCATACTCGGCTCGCGAAAAACTTCTCTTTGCACAGTCGAAGCAGCAAAAAAGCATTTGAAAACTTTTCTGTTCTGCCGAGCAGAAATTCGCAACGTTATTTGCAACGATTGCCTGCGATTATTTACGACTGCGGCGTTCCTAAATTTATTCGTATCAGAAAGTAGTCGACGATCGATGTAATTGAATCCTGCAGTGGAGGAGGTGGGACGCGCGCCCCGGGGGTCAATCACGAAACGAATCGGCCGCCGCGCGACGTGCAACGTTTCGAGCAGAACCGCGAAACTCGCGTATAACGGTAGCAATGACGATCGATCGATGTGTACCTATGGATAAACGGAATACTCTCGTTGCAGGACATGTCCGACGTGTGCGTCGGTACCAGCGTGGGGACTATCACCGAGCCGGAATGTTTGGGACCGTGCGAGCCTGGGACGTCGGTGACTCTCGAGGGCATAGTTTGGCACGAAACGGAAGGAGGTGAGTTCATCGTTGACCGTTGTCGAGATTTCACGAGGAATTGATCGAGTCGGTGTTGCAGGTGTACTGGTGGTGAACGTAACATGGCGGGGGAAAACGTACGTGGGTACGTTGCTGGACTGCACGCGTCACGATTGGGCGCCGCCGAGATTCTGCGACTCTCCGACCAGCGATCTCGACGCAAGAACACCGAAGGGTCGAGGCAAGAGGGGAAGAGCTGCGGCAAACGCAACACCGGGCAACGATCTGAGCAACTTCACGGAAACGAGGAGTTCGGTGCACAGTAAACTGCGAAACGGTGGTGCGAAAGGTCGTCGCGGTGCGCAAGGTTCGCCAGCAGCGAGTCCGAGTCCTGCCGCGTTCGTACCACCACGACCGGATCCAGCGGCGAAGAGGAAATCCCGGGGTCCAGAGGAAGAGGACAAGAACAAGAGGCGAGCTCCTCCTCCTACGCCGCCGAGTGGCTCGCCACCGGCCAGTCCAGTGTTACTTGAATGCCCAGAACCGAACTGTAGTAAAAAGTACAAACACATAAACGGGCTCAAGTATCATCAGAGTCACGCGCATGGCTCGGCGGACGATGACGACACGAAGGAAGGCATCACCAGTATGTCCGAGAACGACGAGAGCAATATCGAGGCTCCGAGTCCGGCAACGCCAGTCAAATCGCCAGCAGACAAGCCTGATGGAACGCCACTCCGGCCGGCTAGTCCTCCGACGGCCGGCTTACCTCCCGAAACGCCGCCTCCTCCAACCCGTGTCACCTCCCCGAGTATAGAGACATCGCCCGTGCTCGCGTCGGAAAGTAGCAAGAGCATCGTGAAGCCGGGTGTGCTGAGATTTGGCCAGGAAGACTTGCCAGCGCCATCGTCGACGATACCAACCTCGGCGAGGCAGCAGCAACAACAACAGGCCGCGCAACAGCAGCAACACCAGCAGCAGCAGCAACAACAGCAGCAGCAGCAGCAGCAGTCGAACCAACTGGGTGGCTCGAACTCGCCTCCTAGTCCGAGTCCTCGAACTAGTCAGTCGCCGAGATCGGTACCTTCGCCTCACCCGAGTGCAAACATTCCGGCTCCATTGAATATTCCTCAGCCGCCACAGCCGTCCCAATTGTCGCAGCACTCGCAACAAACGAATCCCCTTCTACAACCGAGTCAACAGTCGTTGCAGCCTGGCCAACCGGGACCGCCGCCTCCGCCACAATCCAATCAACAATTGCAGTCGTCTATTCAACAACAGCAGCAACAACAACAGCAACAGCAGCTGCCACCTGCTCACCAATTGTCCGTGCAGCATTCGTTGTCGGCGCAACTCGGTCAGCCAACGCAGGCTCACGTGGTGCAACAGGCTGGATTGCAACAACAGCAACAACAGTCGCAGCCGAGCGGATTGCAAGGTATCGCGAGCCAACATCCGGCCCTTCAAGGTCTCTCTAGCCAAGTGTCGCAGCAAGCGGCAGGCTTACAAGCGTCAGTCTCGCAACCCGGCCACCCAGGACAGAGCGTGCAAGCGCACTTGCAACCTTATCAGAGCGTGTCGTTGCACGCGAAGATGCCACAGTTCAAAGTTAAGCCTACTGCGGCTCTGATGCCCGACCAGGACAAAAACAAGGATCCGAGGACGTCGTCGAAACCTCAGGGATACAAGAAGAAGTCGAGAAAGTCGCCGGGCGGCAGCCCACACCCATCGCCGTTGGAACCGCCGATTGTCGACGCGGCACGAGAAGACGTGCAAAGCCCGGCCTACTCGGACATCTCCGACGACGCTGCGCCGGTGCTCGAAGCGGAGCCGGCCGACAAATCGAAACAGAGCCAGGAGAAGGACGGAAAGGCAGCGACGACCGCGCATCTACCGGCTCATTTCAACATGTATCCGTACTATGGCCAACCCCCTTACCTCGTGCCGAGCGTTCCTGAGAGCAAACCGGTCGATCAAAAGCCGAGCGATCTCACTCCGAAGCAAGAAATGAAGCCGCTCAACATACCGCAGATGCCGACGCTGGCCAGCCTACAGAGCGTCGTAGCGGAGAAGGAAAAGAAGGAATTGAGCCAGTCGGTGCCACAACCGCAGCCTCAACAGCCCCACTATTACGGTGGCTATGGCGGTTACATGCCGCCCGGTTATCCGTATCAGCCGCCGCAGCCTATGTCGCAGCAACAACAGCAGCAGCAGCAGCAACAGCAGCAGCAGGCGCAAGAGCAAGAGATGCACGAGCAGAAGGCAAAGATCAAGCAGGAGCCGCAGTCGCAGCAGCAGCAACAGCAGCAGCCTAGCTTGAAGGACAAGCAGCACGAGAACCATCAGATACTGAAGGAGAGTATCGAGATGAAGAGTCAAATGAGTCCTTATCACGTGTATCATAGCGGGCAGAGTCAAAGAGCGCCTCCACCGCCTCCACCTGGTCCGATGCAGGACGACCGAAGGTATTACCTGTACCCGGGCGATCAGAGGCGAAAGGAAGAAGCGAGCAAACAGAGTCAACAGGCGAAACCACCACCACCGAGTCCGAAGCATCAACCGAAGCAGGAGAAGCCGCAGGACTTGGGGAAGAACGACGACTCGAAGAGCAAGCAGGAGGGCGTGAAGCCGACGATGGAAACGCAAGGACCACCGCCACCGCCCACCTCGCAATACGCCTACATTCACCCGGGTTACATGCAACCGCAACATTACAGCGCGTTGCCTTTCGATCCTGGTCATCCTATGTATCGCGGGCTCAGCCCGATGTTGGTTCCTGGACCGTATTCCGGCAATCCGTACCTCCATCAACTGCCGAGGTATCACGCACCGGAGGATCTCAGCAGACCGCCTGGCGGCAAAGCCCTCGACTTACTTCAACACCATGCCAATCAGTATTACTCGGCGCACAAGATACACGAGCTTCAGGAGCGTGCGCTCAAGTCGCCTACGCCGAAAACGTCCGCGGCATCGGCCAGCCCTTCGTCAGCAGGGCCGACACCCTCGCGGCCACCAAGCGGGCCGCCCAGCTCGGTAGCAGGACCAGGTCCACCGCAGTCGCAGGCTCAACAACCCCAGACCAAGCAGCAGAGTCAATCGGCGGGGCAACAGTCTCAGCAGCAACAGCCACCACCGGTCGACGCCAGCGCCGGAACTTTGACCAAGGACAATAGATCACCTCCGCCTCAGCGGCACGTGCACACGCATCATCACACGCACGTCGGCCTAGGCTATCCCCTATTGACTGGACAATATCCTGCCCCTTACGGAGGTAAGCCTCTCGTCAGACCCTGACAATAAGTCGCGGTTCGAGCCGAACCGACCACTGTCGCCGCCGCCGCCGCCGCCGCCGCCTCCGCCGCCGCCGCCGCCACCACCGTCGACTACGACCAAGATCGTCGCCAACACCACGATCCCGTCCCGATCTTCGATCCTCGTTCTTCCTTCTTCGGATAACCGATCGTCGTCCTCGTCCTCGACTCGACGTTCGAGAGACTGATGTTCCTGTTACCTAGCTGTTTGTTCGAGTATCGCACGACCGATAAGATATCGAGTCTCGCGAGAATCGATAGACGTTAGATTTCACACGTGAAGATACCTAGACGAGAGCACGGAAAATCGTATCGGCGCTTCTCCCGTTTCTCTACGTGCACGTTCCACGTGCTTGTATCAAATGTACATTAAAAGCGTTGGACTAAAAAGGGTACTGTTTGAATCACGAAAACGCTTGAAATACGTAACTACGGATACCTAGCTGACACTGTGATAAATCGTTGACCGCGATTGATCGATATCGGCGTGCATGCAACCTGTTGCGACAAATCTACTGCTGGCGATGGTCGAGCTCTTCTCCATCCTCCTTGAATTTTCAATCTCGATGGAACGTGTCTTCATCGTCGAGAGTATCGTTAGGAATCGCCTTGCGCACTTGTTTCAAATATTTTGAAAACTTCAGTTTAATTTCTCTTCATTTCCTTCCTACGCTCTGACAAAGCTCGACGAACATTTGTTATGTATTTCGACCATACTCTTTATCCGTGACTTTATTCGGGAAAAACGACTGGGATATGCGTCGATTTCGTTAGGTGTCGATAATGATATCAACACGATATGAAATGTCCGATTTTTAATAATAACTGTATAAACGAAACATGATAAAAACTATTACAGTCTACAGATTTTTTTTTTAGTAAATTATGATTATTTTAGTTCGTTATTCAGTTATATCAATTAATTTAATTACAAGCTTTTTAACATGATAAAAACTCCCTTTTTATATTCTATTTTTATAAAATGGATATTAGTCTCGATAGATTCTTCGAAGACAGTTATTTTCAGATTCAGATGTTTCAAAAAATTGTAACGAAGTTGCATTTAAAATTTAAAAAAAAAAAAAAAAAAGATTCAAAAGAATATATCGGACATTTCATATTTTACTAATGTAATCCTCGTCTCTCCCTCTTTCTTCCCTCGTCACTCCCTCTTACGCTCTTGTCCTGGTAAGTAACTCTGATCTCTCCGTCTATTCCTCCAGTATTCGTTCTCCTATCAAACTTGTCTTCGGTGATTGCTCGCTCGCTATACTTGGGCTGTGGAGTGATGCGAAATCGCCGAAAATCGTTGTGGCCGTAACGAACGAGCAACAACGCGAAAGGCAAAGCGGAGAGAGTTTCGTCGTTGTCGTCGTCGGTACCTGGTCGAAGACCGTGGATATGCGCGCGGTGGATAGGAAGAAAATTCAAAACGAAATCAAAGAAAAAAATCGAAAGAAAAGAGAGAGAGAGAAAGAGAAAAAAAAAAGATGAACTCGAAATCGTAAACCGCGGCGGCGAGAGTGGATTTGATTCGGCAGAGAATCCTATTCGATGTTATGACGAACGACAGAGAAAAACAGAGAGACAGAAAACAAAAAAAAAAAACAAAACAAAAGATGAATTAACGAGCCTCGGTATCTGTATGTGTGTTGCAGCGGCGATGCTGGCGAGTCAGCAGGCCGCCGCGGTAGCCGCATCGGTGATCTCGCCATTCCCGCCCAAGTGACCCGCGGCCCCCGGTCCCGTACTAGCTGCCGGAACAACCGGACCCACCTCCGCACAAACTCATCACACGTCTCATCATCCACCGCCGGTTAGCGGCGCAACCGCCGCTGGACATCCGCACTCTGCTACCGCTGGCAGGCAACCTTAGGATCGTCTCGGGAATACCGCTAATTCGGCACTGCTACCTCTTCTTCGTTAACGCGACCAGCGAGAGAAAGTGAGAGAGAGAGAGAGAGAGAGAGAGAGAGAGAGAGAGAGAAAGAGAGACTCCTTCAACAGCAGCAGCACGTCATCCAGTTAAGGCCTGTCGTCTCCGGTTGTCATCGTTATCGTCCATCGTCTAAGAAATATCGTCATCGAAAGGATCTTCCGAACTCGATCTCCGACGAGATTCAGTGATCGGTGGATACACGGTGATCGCTTGCCGCAGACGGTGACGGTGACGCTGACCGGCGACGCTATCTGAACACACACTGTCCAACCGCCTTCTCTTTGTCTTCGTTTTCTTCGTTCCTCGCGGAAAAGCGCGCACGCCTTCCGAACTGTCGTCGTTCCATTTCCAAGGGAAAGTACTGCTACCACACACGATCCATCGAATCCAATTCCTGGTGGTGCTGACTAGTTATAGAAAACAGATATTGAATCAAACAATCTGAAACTAATTAGCTTTGAAACTGAAAATTGCAGCCTTCTCCGATTTCCTTCGCCGACAACGTTCCGTAGCGCGAATGTTACGTATCTTATTATAATACGTGTAAGAAACGACCTTACGTTTTCCCGGGGCTTCTCGCAATTTTATGCGAAGGATCGATCCTAATCTGTAGAGCGTCGACGCACAATTCACGTGAAATTCAAACGAAATCGCTTCTCGAAGACACGGTCGAAAACGAACGAGATGAAAACAGTCCCTAATACACGCATACACACCCATGTTCTTCCATTCGAAGCGTGAAAACAAAGATTTTCCAGATTTTTATACGAGTTTCTTATTTGCTCTGACCTTTTCTTGGACACTGTCAACGGCGACGGCGACGGCGACGACGACAACGACGATGCGAGTGGAACAACGTGCAGGAAACACAAAAAAGTATCACGAATCCAACCTTCGACCCCTGGATGCTTTCCGCTCGTAACTCGCCGTGGGATTTTAACCGGTGGTCAAAAGAACGATACATACGTGTGAAAAAAGATTCAACGTATCATTGTACCTGGTTCGAAACGCGAATAAAACCAAATTTCCCGATCGATCTTAAGATATAGTGGAGAAACCAGTTGCCGCAAAGATCGACGAGCAACGGAAAAATAAAATACTACGAGGAGACTGGAAAGAAGAGAAAGAGAGAGAGAGAGAGTGTGTGTGTATGTATGTATGTGTGTGTGTGTGAGAAAGAGGGAAGTGTGCGCGCAGTGAGATCTCGTTGCGTTAGACTGAAAACGGTCGCAAAATTAAATACTGGTATCCTACGCGTAAAAAAAAAAAAAGAAAGAAAGGACGAAAGAAGTTGCTACGGCCGTACCGCGTATCAATTGCCCGATTTTTCTCCGATGCAAGAGACTGTGTGCCTCGAATTGCGTTGATTCGCGTTCGGAGGCGACAATTTATATTGCACTTGTAGTGACGTAGAGATGCGAATGTGCGAGAATGAAAGAAAAAAAAAAAAGCGGAAGAAACTGAAACGGACTTTGTTGTTTCTACGCGTCTGCTGCGTGCGTCGCGGTGTTCTTTCCGTAAAACTCGTTGTGTATAAATTGCGTACGTGCGAATGAGTTCGATCTGAGAACTTTGTCTATAACAGTGAAATTATAGATCGTTGTATTTTATTGTAAAAAAAAAAAAAAAAGAGAAAAATGAACAAGGCAGAAGATTCCTTCTACCGCAGACTCGACATTTTTTTAGAGAAATTATGTGACCCGCGAATGACACAAATGTTTTTTTAAACGATTTGATTACTTTACCGTTATATAAAATGTGCGTGAACCTGTCGGTTATACGATATCAAATAAATACGAACGAAAAAGGACACGTGTCGGATAAGGGGAGTATAAGCGTAAAAACAAAAAAACAAAAAAATCACGATAATTCTAAATAATGATAACGTGACGATAAGTGATTGTACATTAAATAAGCTAGAATGCTATTTGTTTACTAAAAATAATGATAGTTAGCGTTGCGTGAAAATACAATAGAGAATGTGGGCATGTGCGTGTGCATATGAATATGGAGATAACAGTGCGCGTTTGAGGAAAGATAGAGAGAGAGAGAGAGAGAGAGAGAGTGAAAGCGTGTGCGTAAGAGAGAAAAAGAGAACAGATGAGCAAAACGGGTTAAGACTAAAATTAACAAGAAATGGAAAATGCTATCAGATATGTATAGTATGTATACGCGCACATATGCACCGTGATGTACGCGTATAGTATTTTGGTGACTATCAATGACGATTGTCATACCTTTTATCACGATTATTCATTTTTAGCGATCGGTTTTATTATTTTATTATTATATATTATATTTTATTATCATATCGTCGACAAAAGAAAGAAAAGAAGTAGATAAAAAAATAAAAACATTGTACAGACAATTGGTGAAACCCGTTTTCAAGAAACGGAAATTAGTTCTATCGTACCGTGCGCGTAGTGTTGCATATGCCAAATAAACGAAAAGAGAACAAGGCGTGTTTTTTTAATTCGAGCATAACAACGGCGATATTCATTTTAGCGAAATCCGCGAAGGTGAAAAGAAAGAAAGGATGCCCGTGTTTTATGTATGTATGCGTGCGTGCGTGAATGAATGAAAGCAAGAGAGAAAAGGAGAGTGAGAACGGCGAAGAAACGCGCGGGGAATCGTCTCAGTTTTAATGAGACGCGTTCGAAGGAGAATCGGGCGGGCTTTAAAAAAA